TTTTAACACATTAGACTGACGCTGTCAATTTTAAAAAATATAAGACTCAATTTTTACAAATTATTATATAGAGACTAGATCCACCAGTTTAATAGAGTATAATGACTAATTACATAATTTTACCTAAATAAATATCGAGAACAACAATGGATATTTTTATAAAAAAAGCATCGAAGTGGATAAAAAAGAAAATTAGATTTTAACAAAAAATAAGTGATCAAATGGAAGACGGGTGAAAGGAAGAGAGAAGAAGGGATTCGGGTAGTTACGAAAAGGTTTAGAGAGAGAAGGAGTGAGGAAGAGAGAGAGAGAATAAAAGGAAAAAAAATGAAGAACTTTGGGTTTAGAATTAGTATTTATGTGCAAGTAATTGAACAAATTTTCAAGGTTGTTTTTTGTTCAAAAACATTTATTCAGTTTTTCCTATGTATCCGCATGAATAGTCAATATATATCAAGGGAAGTGGGTAACGAAAAACTGAAGCAAATTAACATTGAGATTAATGTTCACAATAGGATAAGCGACGTAGGCCAGCTAGCCATGAAAATTAAGTGAAGCTCTTGATTAGTGGGGAGTTTATAAATGATCAAAATGAGATATATATATATATATATATATATATAGTTGATGTGAATGACCAATTAATTAATCCATGCACCTTTTTATCTCCAAGCTATCCTTTCCCACTTTTCTAAATTTAATCAGTTTATTGTTGTCCATTAATTCCGAGTAATTTTCCTAAAATTTATCAGCACCTTGAACTTCTCTCTAGCTAGCTACACATCACCAGCCCATCTCCTTAATTTTGTTTCTTCTCTCTTTGAACCAACCTTGTACCTATGATCCTCTTTTGCTCTTCCATGAACACTATTTCAAAGTTTCCCTCTCTTTGTTTACTCGTTTGCTGCCACCTTGTTGCCAAAATCAATTTTAACAATGGTGTCGAAGCCTCTCACAGGGTTTACTCTGAATTTCAGTCTCTTAAGTGCAGTTAGTGTTAGGCAACTCCACCGAACAGGCTACCACTTTCAGCCTCTTAAGCATTGGATCGATGGTATGTTCTCCAGGATTCAATGGCTTATTACTCTAACTTTTATCAAATTTTCCATTTCGAGATTCAATCTATTTATTTTTTAAAAGAAATTTAAATGCAACCTTTTCAATTTTATCTATTTAAAAAATTGATAAAAAAAAAGTTAAGTAACTACCACTAAACAAATTAACAGATGTAAATTTATACTTATTAAGAGGTAATTCACATGACAACGCTTATTATTTTATCTTGAGATAATGTAAAATTTTAATTATTATTATTATTATACCGTCATATTTGGATTTTAGATACTCTTTAATATATCGATGACCTTTAATTTGTATAGCCAAGAAAGATATGGTATAAAAGGGTGAGGGCAATGGACTTTTTCGCAATTGGCTGCAAACACGTAGTGCATGTACAAAACTCGGTGTAACTTACTATTTTTTTTTATATATAAGCTCATGGTGCAATCTCATTGCTTGGTGGACATCTTCCAATAACTAATTTAGCCACTGCCAACATTTGCTTTTGTTTCTTGGTGGTGGAATCACGCATGCCATTACAAAGTGAAACTGTCACCCAAATAATGGTTTGAAGAATATCTTACCTATTTGTTATAATAAGTGAATCCCGGTTCAGAAAAAGACTTCCATTTGGAGGAAACAAGGAACTTTGGCCCTTTTCCTTTTGCCCCCACTACAGTCTTCTTCTTTATAATTAGTAGTAAAAAAGTGGAGATGATGGGGCATGGGGACATTTGCATGGAACTTGACCAAAACCCTGACAAGGAAAGAGCAAAATTTTCTAGCTTTTGGGTTTGGCAAGCTAAAGCCAACTGTGTTGTTAAAATTTCATTTTTTCAATTCGGAAAGTTGCAGGGCGTGACATTAGTTAATTTCTCTTATGAAACTATGGCTGATGTATATAATCAACAAATGGGGATCATCTATTGGGGGAGTCGATCCATTGCAATATATATATATATATATATATATATGCCTTGTGACTGTCCTTGTATAAATGCATATCCAATGATAACTTTTAAGCATAATCTTTACCCACAGAACCCAAACGTCTAATCATCAATTTACTTGTGACTTGGAGTCAGGCAGGCTTTTGGTTTGAGTCTGGGACCTTCCCCTTGCGCCTCAAAAGGAATTCCCTAACTCAAAAAAGAAAGAATAGTCTATTTTATGCAACTTTGTAAGCACTGCCGTTAACTATGGAGTGTCTACTTTTATGGACATTAGTTACAAAGTGAACATTGTCACTAACTTCTCGTTTCTTTCTTTGGATTGGTTTTCCCCTTGGGGACGTTTAAACAAACCATCAAAAAAATAAATCTACGACAGATCCAAATGCTAAGTGTTCTCGTCGCCTATCGTTTGTCCAATTTATGTACTTTCTTAGTTTCTTTTATTTACGTTTTCCATGCAATTACTCTCACGATATGTTTTATCAAACAGGCCCCATGTACTACCAAGGATTGTACCATTTCTTCTACCAATACAATCCCCAAGGAGCAGTGCGGGGCAACATTGTTTGGGCCCATTCAGTGTCCAAAGATTTGGTGAATTGGCAAACACCTGAATTAGCCATCACTCCTACACCGCCCTTCGACCTCAAAAAAAACGAGGTACAAAACTATGCTGTCCCAGAGAAAGCATCAGATCCTTATCTACGTAAATGGAACAAGCCTAGTGGAAACCCGATCATGATTGCTGATAAAGGCGTGAATGCCAGAGACTTTCGTGACCCTACCACAGCTTGGAATCTCTTGGTAGGAAGTAAAATGATCGTAAAGGGATAGCCTACTTGTTCAAGAGCAAGGATTTCAAGAAGTGGACCAATGCCCAACGCCTTTTACATGCTGCACCTAACACTGGAATGTGGGAATGTCCAGATTTTTATCCTGTTTCAAAGCCTGGTAACAAGGGCTTGGACACATCTGTACAAGGAAAAGATGTGAAGCATGTTTTGAAGGTGAGCTTATATCTCACAAGATATGAGTATTACCCACATGGTACTTAATTACCTAAATCAGGAAAAGTACGTTCCTGACAAGGACAAAGTTGATGGTTGGGCTGGGCTTAGAAATGCTTACTTCTATGCTTCAAAGACATTCTTTGATCCTGCAAAGAACAGGAGGATTCAGTGGGATTGGCCGAATTTGTCGGATTCCTTGATGGATGATGTTAAAAGAGGATGGGCTGGTATTCGGGTACCTTATATTCAACAAAAATCTTTTACTAATCTCTGAGGGATAGCTGTAGTTAGAAATTAAAATGATGGATTTTAATGGCGTTATCTCAGTTAATTCCAAGGACAGTGGAAAGCAATTAGTGCAATGGCCCGTTGAAGAGTTAAGAGACCCTAAGGGGAAAAAGAGTCCAAATAAGGAATACACAGCTTAAACCGGGAGAACATATGGAAATCAAAGGAATTAGTGGCTCCCAGGTTTGCTTCATAATTTGTATTCTAAGAACATGTTTCCAAATTGATTGGCTAAAGATCCTCTTATAATTAACTCTCATCTCCCTAGTTGATGATCTTCACTGACTGATGTTGATATCACCTTTTCTATACCTAACTTGGACAAAGCTGAGCCACTCGATCCTAGTTCGAAAGATCCCCAAGACCTTTGTTACAAGAAGAAATCAAAAGTTGGTGGTGCAATTGGTCCATTTGGACCTTTGGCATTGGCTTCAGAAAAGCTTGAAGAATTTACCCCAGTTTTCTTCAGGATATTCGAAGCTCAAAACAAACAGGTTGTTCTCACGTGCCCGATGCATCACGGTCTGTCTGCCTTTTTCTACAAGACCACTATTTGAGTTTCATTCATCCATTATAAATATTTCTAGCGTCATTTTTATTTGATTCCCTTGTGGCAGCTCCACTTTGACGGAGAGAGTTTATAAACCAACATTTGGTGGCTTTGCAGACGGTAGATTTATCTAATAAGAAGCTTTCTCTTAGGAGTTTGGTAAGCTATATATGGCTTAACCCTCACCTTCTAGATCTCGCCCTCTACATCTCTTCTTATCTTTTTGCTTATCACATTATTATGCTTTTGTTCATATGTTTTGTTTCTTTTTTCTTGGGCAGATTGATCACTCTGTGGTAGAGAGCTTTGCAGCTGGAGGGAAAACATGCATCTCATCAAGGGTATATTCAACGCTGGCAGTTTTTCGTCAGGCTCATGTGTTTGCATTCAACAATGGAACGGAAACTATCACTTTACAAAATGTCAATGCCTGGAGTATGAAGAGACCTAAACAGATGAACAATTGAAGGGGACTAGGGAAACTGCTATTTCATTCAAACAGGCTTGACCTTAGAATTTGTAGCATTTATATATAGCCTTAACAATGATAGAATTTAGATTAACATAATACATAATTTAAAAGTTGAGGTGCAAATCATACATGTGCCAATTTGTACATTTTGCGGAAGTTCAAGTAACAAATAAGTAGTTAACTCAAAATAAAACACCTGATGACTTGAAAACTTGGAACCATGATATTCATGTCAAGCAGTTCTTCACAAGGTGAGAATTCATGGTTTTAAAAACTTCATTAACAGTAGCCGACAACTTACATTGGAAAAATCAGAGGGAAACAAGCTTGCAAATCTGTAGTAACGCACTGTGTATACAAGAGAATCAAACAAATTTGATTTTGCACCAAGGAAAAAGTAATGGATCCACGAGCAGGAGTACAATTATATTCTCCTCTTGCTCTTGCTTGACTGTACATCAACAAGACATAACTCGTTGAAAGAAACCAATGAAGGTTATATATATAAAGCAAAAAGGATCTTCTTACTTGATAAATAGCTTGTTTTAGTTAAACAACATCACCGAGAAAGCATTTTTTGATGTTGCCCATAATACACCTGAGCCAGCATTTTAAGCTCACCGATGAAACTAATCTCCCTGAATACATTGACACCACTTGCAAGCACATCAAGTCCAATCCAATTAACAACGAAAATCTACATAAGAAAAGGTTCGTTCATTGTGCCTTTGCCCTTGGGTGTAATAGAGGCCTTCATCTTCTGAACAGTTGATACATCAATCTTGGAAGACTTGGCAATGATATCATCCCTAATGTTAGTTGAAAAAACAGACCTGGGAAGACTTATGGTTCCAGCATTTGCACTACCGAAGGCAGAAATCGCAAAAGCAGAGTCCTGCCCATAGTTATATTGATAGTGAACAACACCCTTAGGGAAGATAAACAGATCTCCAGCTTGAAGTGTCTGAATATGTAACACATTTTTCTCATCAACAAAGCCCACTTCAAGAGAGCCTATGAGAAGAAAAAGAAGCTCAGCAACCTGAGGATGGCTGTGAACAGGATTTAAGGAGACTGAAGGGAACTGCAGCACAGCATAAGAAATGCCCTGACCATTTAAGGCTGGAAATTCAGCCTTGCTGACATTCAGAGTCTCAAAAGCTGTAGGTAGATCAGCCCCGATCAGGACACGGAAGGCAGTATGAGTGAAGAAGTTTGCATCAGCAGTGGTTAAATTCGGTGGCAAAACAGAGTCAACCATAAGGTCTGTCTCGGTAGAATACATCACCTGGGAAATCATCAGTACCAAAATAAGGGTATGAATGCGTGATACAATTCCCATGGTCGTGGTTGAGGTTATGCAGCAGAACTATACAATTTTAGATGATATCATAATTACATGGATGAAGGTAAAAGCAAAGCTGATTGAGGATTGCGTATGTGCACTCATGTTGTGTATGCTAGAATGTATATCAGAGGGGAACCAGAACCTTAGTAGCAATTTGACAAGAATTCTCCACCATATGCAATTGGCCGGCAACTATAAAAGAAACAAGAATGCATTTTTGTCTTACATGTTATTTCTTGGACTTATCACCAAATGATCAAATGTTGCATGTTAATTTGTCCAAGTATTAGGCATTCCATATGCATCAGGACTCAGTTAATTGATATACATAAGGATGTCAATTAAAGCCCCATTAAAGAATATGCTGCTGTCTATTAAGACAATCAAGTAAGACATGGATGCCGAACTTTTGATTTACGAATGTTGGGAAAAAAATGATATAGTTAAGTCAATTATTTTAAATTATGCATTACTCCTAACTAGTTAGGAGGAGAAAAATGACATTGAGTATAGCCTAAGATATTTCGTCACTGTTTGTCTGATCAAACAGATAAAAAGGAGTTGAACCATCATTGAAAAAAGTATGTTGAAGAAAATTGTAGCTTATATTTCTAGGGAAATTTTTCTTTTTAACAAGATTTAAATGCAAAACAGGGTATAATCCAAATGGAATTTACCAAGATTATTTGCCCTTGTCCGTTAAATCAAGTCATCATTATGAACTACAAGCCAAATGGCCTCAAGACTGCAAAAGTTCCCTATTCAAAACCAGATGCATGTATTCATTTAAAGATTAAAGAATCCAAAAAAAATATCATACGATGCTTTAGTAATGCATGGAATAGGGGAAAACCATGCATGTTATACATTTAAGAATAAAGAGTCCAAAATATTATCCTCTGATGCTTTAGTAATACATAGAAAAGGGGAAAACTAACCTGCCAATATCAAGTAAGCCAATTACCAGTAGTCCCCACATGAACAAGCCCCCTCATTGAAGTGGTGAAATCGATTTGCATCTCGTACGATAATCAACCTCTTTGTAATAGCTGATACAAACTTAATAAATGTGTGGCAGTCACCACAAACTCTAAGATTCTTTGTAATCCTGATAGGAGTTCCCTTAGGGGTGGCAATAAGACCAAATGCAATAGCCAATTTTTCACTATGCGTGTACAAGATTCCAACCTTAACTTCCTCATCAACATCATGTAACACAAAATTTGTATCTGGTACGTAACCAGCTAACTCCAATTTCTCACTCATACTCTTCAGCAATCCATAAATCTCCTTTGACAGAGGATGAGACTTGTCCCCCACGCCAAATTGATAAATCTTGTCATCCACCTCAATCCAGGTCCAACCAGGAATCTTTTTCAAACTCCTTTTGGTCATTAGGTTCCTGATTTTTGCCATATCTTCCCACCTACCAGCATTTGCATAAATGTTGGAAAGTAACACATAGTGCCCTGGATTCTGAGGCTGTAGTTCAAGAAGAGACTTTGCAGCCTTTTCTGCCAACTCTACGTGTTTATGGATTCTACATGCCGCAAGCATAGCACCCCATAGCCCTTCATCCTTCTCAACTGTCATGTTCTCAATTAAGTTCAAGGCCTCATCAAGTCTCCCAGCACGGCCTAAGAGATCAACCATGCAAGTATAGTGCTTCACATCTGGTCTCACACCATATTCGTCCCACATCATGTTAAAAAGCTGAAGACCCTCGTCAACCAAGCCAGCATGACTACAAGCATAAAACAGAGAAACAAAAGTTATCCTATTTGGCATTATCCCACTATTCAACATCATAGGAAATAAATCAAGTGCTTTCCTGCCTTGTCCATGGTATCCATAAGCAGCAATCATCGCACTCCATGAAATTACATTCTTCTCTTGCATCCTATCAAAGATTTCCCTCCCACAATCAACACTCCCACACTTGGCATACATATCAATAATTGCAGTACCCAATACCACATCCAAACTAAAACTCATTCTACAAACATAATCATGAATAAGTCTAGCCTTATGCATAGCACCCAACTTCGCGCAAGCATTAACTACAGTCACAATATTAATCTTATCCGGCACAACACCTTCCTCTCTCATCCATTCAAACAAAACCAACGATTCCTTAGCATTCCCACACTCAGCATACCCCCCTATCATAACAGTCCAGATTACAAGGTCCTTGTTTGGCATATTATCAAACAACCTACGAGCATTGTCCATGACCCTGCATTTTGCATACATGTCAACAAGAGCAGAAGAAACAAAGTGATCCAAACACAACCCAGATTTCAGAACAACACCATGAACTAAACTACCCATTAACAAGTCCATCCCATCCCTACAAACCCTCAAAACAAAAGGCAAAGTATAATTATCAGGCTGAACACCACACCTAATGAGCTCCCTAAAAAACCTAAAACAATTAACAAAGTCACCAGCTTTAGCAAACCCACCAACCATGACACTCCAAGAAACTGGGTCCTTCTCTCTCATTCCATCAAAAAAAGCATAAGCGTCACCTAAAGCCCTGTGTTGAAGATATATGTAAAGGAGTTTGTTTGTAACAAATAGGTTATTTAATAATCCATTGGCAACTACTTGGGCATGAACGTGTGTTATTTCAAAGACGTTTTTGCAGTTTAACAAAGCAGAGATAAAAAATTTCGGGTCCACATAGAGTGAAGAATGAGAGTCTAGTGGTTTTTGCATATGGGTTTGGAGTTTTAGGGAGGTTTCTTGAGTATCTGCAATCGCTGCAAGTGTAGAAATAGAGTGAAGAAGGCGGAATCTGTCGTGGTTCGAGATAAGCAAGGACTGGATCTTCGTGAGCCTTAACATGGGATTGGCGCGAGGGAAGCAGGAGTACTTTAGAAGCTAACTCTTTAACGGCTCCTAAACGGTATTTCTGTTGGAGCAAATATTGTACGAGGAAACATCAAGCATGCAACAACGGTTAAGGTAGCTTCCTTTCAACCTATAACTTTCTCTATCCTACTGATTCCCAGCAACCTTTTGACAAATTTTTTTTCCAATGAAGTATACGCGATAATTTGGACTTGGGAGTAACAACTTCCAAGTATTAATATTATTTTATCAAAATTAACAACCTTGAACACTTTAACTTTATTTTTAAAAAAAATCTAGGGAAGACACAGGTAAAAATTTCACTGGAAAATATTATGTCCCATCTCGTTAAGTATAATAATAATTAACCAGCTGACTGCCTTGCAATAATATTGTAATGGAATTATGAGGTAAAGATACCAAGTGGCCTGAATTGATTTGAATGGAGGAATGCTGAAATGTTTTAAGAATATAAAGAGAAGCAGAGAAGATTTAAGCCCGTGTGGCCGTGCTAACATATGGTTCAGAGAAGTTGAAATTTCACTTTCGAGTAAACAAAAAAGGGCATACATTACAAAGCTGCTCAAGAAAAAGCAATGTCCCAAGAATTATGAATAAAACTTAAACCCGAGGGGTTTTGTCTCAATTTACACTCCTCCATCCAAGCTAAAGATTATAAATCCTGAGAAAGGATTATTCTTACTGAATCCATCCTGAGACATGCAATACACCTTCCACCGCCAACTGCTGCATCGTTACAATCTCCCCAAGACGATAATAACAGTTTACACTAATGATACAAATACAAATATAATTTGCAGAAGAACATATGAAGGGAGCAAGGCCACCAGTATTAGTTGATTTGTGAAAGGGGTGACCGTGGTATTAGTGATGCCTTTAATTCCTTTGGCTCAAATGATTCGTACGAATTGTTTTCACGAAATTCCTCAACCAGAGCTTCCATTGGCATGGCTCGTAGTGATTCTATACTCCCCTTGCTCGGAACATCTTGTTCGCTTCTTGTTGGCGTCGTCCCACTTGCCTCGTAATCCTGTAACATTATTTATGACAATGCACAAGGTAGAATTGAGTAAATTTTCTGGACCCCGTATACCGAAATGCAAATGTCCTCACTTAATATTTATGACAAGCCATCCTATGTTTTAGCTAATAGTCTCACTCTCGGAACAAGTCAAAAGCCGCAAAACATACCATGTATCTCTGCTGGAATGTTTCTTCTGCTCTCTGCCTGATGGACGTAGCTTGTCTTGAATGATCATCCTGGAATACCTCCATGCTTTTACCATGAGCTTTAACAGTGTCCAAGATTCCAGACGTAATTCCTTGTTCCTGCTCTGACACACCTGTACACAATTCCATGAAAATATACTCATGATAGGATTCCCAAGCTAACGTTTGAGCAACGGTTGATGTTTACGTGCATTTAAAGAGATGATTAACCATTCTATTATCTAGCATCTTCATGAATATGAGCAACTGAGTTATTTTCTAGTTTTCGGCCCTTTTTTCCTTTTCATGGGACATGGAGACTCATTGCAACTTATATATATCTCCACCTCTTCTCCATTGAACATTCTAAATTTACATGCTAGAACATCCTCCATACCACAGAATCAATTAAATGATCACTGTGTCCCTTTCAAGGACTGATGCTTTAAAACTAATTTTAAATATTTGGACCAACAGTGAGCATCAAACATAAACTCACTCTAGAAGGGGAGGAAAGAAAAGAATAACTTACTATCAATGTAGTGAATGGTATCCTCAATATTCTTCAGACCATCTTGCTCAGCTGCAACCCTTGCACTATCAACCTCAGCATCATGCTGCTCATTGGTATCAGAAGCGTTCCTACAAGAAACATTTTGAAGTTTACTTCAGGAAAACCACAAAATACTACAGAAATAGAAGAATCCAACATATGATCGTCTTGGTACTAGCCTCTGGAAGTGGAAATGTAATTTCAACTATTAGTGCACTGGTTTTCCAACAAAATAATAACAAAAACGAAAAGAACTTTCAGCATTAGCTCTAGGTAGAATTAATTGTTAACATTAGAGCAAAAATTTACAACGGAAAAAGAAAAAGTTAACTTTCCATCTATTTAGAATGGCAAAAAGGCAGAATTCCACAAAAGATGTTTACCACCAACCTGATGAGTGATGTTATATCTGAAACATGTTTACTACCCATCTCATTCACCGATTCCTGAGTATGTTTGCAATGCTTGAACGCAGATTCAGCAGTAGACACACTGAAGTAAAAGATAAAGAGAAAACAAACAGGTCAAAAAAGCAAGACAGGAGAAATGGATCCAGAATACTAACACAGCAAAATTTACCATTGCTGCAGGAGTGCCTCCATACGACAATGTTTGGCAGCTGAGTAATCAGCACTGTCTTTAGCCTCATTCTCTGCTTGCATAGCAAATTCTTGCCATTTTCGTTTTGCATCTGTCGTAATACACTCCATGGAGGAAACGTGTCCATCCAAGAATGTTTTGCTTGCAACAACACTTTCTCTAAAATTTACAAGCCTTTCATCCACCTGCAAGAGAAAGCATCAATTAGTCTTCAACAACAAAGTGTACGGGAAACAAAGTTACCAAATACAGAATGGACAAACCAGCTCTTTCTGCCGACGAACATGGTTGTACACAAGATTTGTCATATCAGCAATAAGCTTCTCTGCATCACATTTTGATTGCTCCTGCATGATGCATGCTTGATGAGTAAGAAATTTCAACGTCTCTGGGCAGGAATATGTGTATTATACCTCATAAGCCTTCTGAAAGCAAATAATGCTCTTCATTTGAACTTCATCAGCTTGGACCGCATGATTCTGAACCCTCACAGACTCTTCGGAAAGCTTATCAAGAATTTCATTAGTGTAATCAGAAATGTCCTTTGTTTGCTCGATACTAACATGGAATCTCTGTTAATCAAAAGGGGACAGCAAAATTAAGTAAAGCGATGAAATGGAAATTAATATAAAGTGAAAGAAGAAATCTACCAATGTAACCTATCTATGGGAAATTATGCAAATATTAATAGTACAAGTAAACATAATTTGGGGGAAAAAATTTCATTGCAGAATAAATGAATGTCATGCAATGCTATGCTCTAAAAGGGAAAAATAGAAAAAGAAAAATTAAAGAGAGCAAAAGAGAGAGATGAGGATACTATGATCAGATATACATAAGAGACAAATTGAAAATTGGAGCACAAACCTGTCGTAGTTCCCTTGCAAAGAGAGCCATTTCTCCCTGATGAGTTGCAAGAGTACCCTGAAGATCATCAAACATTGAAGCTGCTTTGCTGGCCTCAGACAAAAGGAACTGATCCATGGTTCATAAACAAGGGACAATTAAAATAAGCAAAACTCCTAATAATTTTAAGAAAACAAAACCAAATTCAAAATATCAGCACCTACCTCTTCAATAGAATGTGCATTCGAAAAAGCCAGAGTTGAAATTTCCTCTAAGGCAGCATTGGAGCTAGCCTTGTGCAATCGCACAACATTTTGGACTGCCTCCACATGGGAAACATGCAAAGCCCTTGCAGCAGTCACCTTTTTCCTCATATCCAAGATTGCCTAAATGCAAGATTTATGAATACAAGTTCATCCATTGTGAATAAATGAACTCCAACACAAAACAAGAACTACCACAATGACAAAAATGTAACATAGAAGCTCAGTTCAAGCGTGAACCCACCCTGAATACTAAAAACCTTTCAATACCTTATCATGTATATTCATAAAAGAATGACAGAGTTTCTCAACACTCTGAAGGTGTTCATTTTGCCGAGACACTGACGAGGCCACCAGGTTGCAAAGAGAACCAATTTGTTGGGCTAGTTCTAATTGAAAGTTGTTAACCACTACTCTATTATCAGCATTCAGTTTGTCTTCCCTTCCTATAAAGTAAAACATCATATGGTTAGGATGCAATAACTAAGGCTCCACATGGTTGATGCTTTTGTTTTTTCTTTTTGATTTTTTTGCAAAAAGTGAATAGAAAAAAAAAAGCAAAAAAATTTAAAAAATGAATAGAATACCAAAGCCAAACAGCAAATAGCAAAAAGCATCAATAAAACAGAGCCTAAATTGAACACATACCAATTTTTAGGAACAATGAAGCATTATCCTTAAGTGCTTTCTCCAAGTCAGACCTTAAAACACAAGCTTGATGTGCTAGAGCATTTTCTATTATAGACCATTCAAAAATAATGTCAGCACACAATAAATATTAATATAATCTCAAATTCAAGTGAGTATATGTTGATGTGTACCTGCTTTTTTCTGTTCAGATATGATATATTCTTTCTCCCTCAACACATAGCGACACTTCTTCAATTCTTCTTCAGAGTTGGCAAGCAATTTGCTAGTTTCATTCAAGTTTTTCTGCATTGTCCACCAAATCAATTAGCATCAAACCATAATATAAAAGGATCAGATAAAAAACTTAACAAAGTTCACCTCAGTCGTCTCAAGTTTTCCACTCAAATCAGAGCACTGTCGAACTTGGGCAACATATTTATCTTGCAATTCCTCAAGTTGCTGTTTGATTAACAAACCAAACAAAAGATGGCAACTTATAAGCCATATAAACCAAACAAAGACAGCAAGCATCTCATGATTCCAACTGATTAAAAATGACACCATAGCAAAAGCTAACCTTCTGATGGGTTTCAAGAAGGACCCCCATTTGTTCAATCTGATCAGCCATTGCCTAAACAAATTCCAAACACATAAGAATAAATAAATAAAAAAAATGATTCACTATCACCTGACAATCTGGGTACTTAATCAATGGACTTCAGTTATACTTACATATGGAAAAAATCATATTAAAAGAATAGACAAACACAGCTGCAGTTTCCAACAGTAGCAAAGCATTATCACTTCTAAGAAATGAACATCAAGAAACAGAAGGAAATAACAAAACCATTCTATATAGGCATAAACATACACCCAACGTCTAAGGGGGGGAAGTATGAGCCATAAACCACACCTTCCTTTCACTCTCCTCCTGGTAATATCGCTCCTTTGGAATATAAACACCATTTTTCTCACGAGCAGCATACACCTCTGAACAAATAGAGAACATCAAAAAAGCAATGTATATTAATCAACATAGTTTATATAAGGAATATTATATTGGCCAATATAGTTAATTTTTTTTTGACAACCCCTCCAATAAAAAATTATCTTACCTGCCTTTAGCCGTTCAATTTCACCATAGAGGTCCTTTATAAGAGTTGATTTCATCATTTTTTGGTTAACCTACGTAAATTGATCAATAAGTTACTTGTTAACCCTTTCCTCATTTTCAAATAACAGTATGATATAACTAGCCAATAACCAGCTTAAGATATCAACAAATTGCACAGCAGGACAAGAAATGACAAGTGGATATTGGTATAGCAAAAATGTTGCACACTCTCAATTTATATCAAACTAGATATCCAACATATAACACACAATGATTACTTTCCTGCACTGGAATCTTTAACCCACTGTACTTCATTAAAAAGCACTAAGTGTGAATATAACACATCAAATTCAATGCATAAACTCAGAGAAAATTCAAAGTACTATGGGCAGCATGAATCATACATCGGTTTCAAGAAAGATAAAGATTCATTTAAAAATTCCACTCTAAACAAACAAGTTACTTTGAAACTTGCAAGTCACTGCATTTCCTACATAGTTGGTAGAAGCTATGGCAGGCATTCATGTTCAAGTTAACTGTACATTTTAGCATGTGTCTGGATATTGTTTAAGGGAAAACAGAAAGAAATCCAACCAAAAGGGAGACATAGGAAAGAAATTGACTTGTTCATGTGTACATCAAACCTCAGGCTTATTTTTGATATTCTTTGCCCTGTGTGCATAATCCAGTGTACTTAGAGTCTCCTCCAGACAATGGACAGCAGGAGAAACTGTGGCTATAATGCAAGTCTTTGTTCTTCCCCCAAGTGAATCACGAAGTAACCGAGTAAGCTTGCTATCCCTAAATTCCAATTAAACTAAATAATTAGAATTGAACATGAAAGGGATATAAGTATCAAGCAACTCAAAAAAGCGATTAAAACCTGTATGGAATATGCCCAAGATGCTCCACAAGAGCATTTATAACTCGTCCTAAAGTAAGTAAACTTTTATTAATTTCACCAGCTTCTCTTGCACGACCCTGTAAATATCAACATCAAAAAAACAATTAATTATTTTCAATTAAAAGCTAAATCTGGTTACAACTCTCAAATTGATTAACAAATATACAAGAAACACATACATCCCTAGCACCAGAGCGAGATATATTTTCCGAGCCAGCTAAATCAACCAAATTCAGCTTCCCACACTTTATTAGCTCTTCACCTTCTGGTGTAGCTTCCTTAATATGAATTGTAATAGAAAATAGAGAATGCGATCGACTGAAATAAACCACATTTTTTGGATGAACAGAAAGGAAAAAACCTTAACGTTAATCAAACATATTGAGCAGACAAAAGAACCATTACCTCGACTGCTTATTCAACAAAGTTTCAGCAGTCCGACGCTTAGCAGACCCTCTTTCAAGCAGAGTAAATATCTCACTAGCACTTGTAACAATTTCTTCCTCTAATCCTCTGACAAGAACTCCACCTTTCCCATCTTCCATAAGCGGCAGCTGCTTCTTCTGTTTCTCCTCCAAAGCAACTTTTGAAATTTCTTCAGGTGCAAGCAAATCAGTAATCTCTTCATTATACAGTTCCAAAAACGTAACTTTCACACTGTACTCCGCATTCTGACTCTCCAATGTGTCAAATATCTGTTTAACAGCTCTTGGTATGACCCCTGCCTCTGCTGGCAATTCGCCATTAGGGCCCGTCTGTCACATTTTTTTATCATATAATTAAACAAATTATAATTAGTTGGTTACACAAAGAAGACGACTTAAAAACGAATGCAAGCGAAAATTACCGACAATCAAATGTATATACCTTTGCCCTTTTGCATTCACCTTCCATAGTGTAAGTTTTCCCCGTACCAGTTTGACCGTAAGCAAAAATAGTACAATTAAAACCTTCTAAAACTTCATTCACAATTGGAACCACTGCTTGTTCATATAGATCTTTTTGTTGGGCTGAAGGCCCAAATACCTGTTTAAATTAAAAACCATTAACAAATTCAACATCTACAGTATCAAACAAGTCCGATAATAATAATAATTAATTAAAGAGCAATAATCACCAAAAAAAAAGGAAGAAGAAAGAAAACAGAAAACCTTATCGAAAGTGAAAACTCTATCGATATGTTTGCCGGCGATGTTCTGAGAAACGGCGACTTCTCTTACGTACTCATTACACGTCACCACTTGCGGCGCATTGTTCCTCAACTCCTCTTCGCTAAACGGCCTATAGAATTTTATTTTTTCACCGAAAACAACAAAAAAAAATTCAAAATCTGTGAAATCAGTGGATCTAGGAAACCCTGACCCAAAAGGAGAGTCAAAGAAACGAAACCTGCAACGGAGGAGGACTTGAACGTTGACGCCTTTCTCTTTTTCGTGGCGACCGGACATTTTCAATCGTCGAAGGGAAGGAGAATCGCACGAACCTATGTTTGATTCTTCTTTTCTTTCTCTTTCTTTGTTGTTCTGTTACTGTTAGATCCGCTTTTTGAATTTTTGCTTCTTTCCTTCTTTTTTCTTCTTTCCCTTTTGGGGTCTGGTTTTTGGTGAAATGAAATCTGAAGAGAGAGCGGGCTTCCGAATAAGATTTGAAATTTTTGAAAGGAGGCGCTCCGGGCTAGAGGATGTTATATCAAACGGGTGCGTTTTGGGGATGTTATTGGGACGGTCTGGATTGCTTTAAATTGAATGGACTGGATTGCCCTTATGAACTATGCGAAATCCCAAATTAAGCCTAGTTGATTTTGAACGTAGGGTTGGTATAGTTCCAACCTGGACTGGACTTAGCCCAATATCATTTGATGGGTTGGTCCAGCATTTTTGGGTGGGCTAAATTTTGAGACTGATTGCAAGATGCATGGTTCAAATTTAATAGTAAGACAAATCACATCTTAACAAGTGGCAGTGTATGGAACCTCTTTCTTCACCCGAGGGTGTTTCCTGTTATATTTATTGCATTATTATTGTTGGAATGACGAATGTAAATGATCCTTCACAATTTTCAATACCCAAAAATTAATTCAGAGCCGGTATTCCCGAACAATGCACTCTTCACTTTTTTTGGGTCCTTCTCTTGTCTTGTATGTCATGTTAAGTGTATTTCTAGCACGTAAGACTAAATTGAACATATGGATCATCAAACATTGAATTCGTAACTAGAAAATACATGCACATTGAATCCATAGCTATAAATGTTTTGGTTTTTTTTTTTTCTTGGAAGCATCACATGTGACAATTTAATTTTGCATGTGACAATTTAATTTTGCATACAAAAAGCTCATTTGGCAAAATGAGATATGTTTGTGTCTTTTCTCTCTTTTTGTAAATTCCACCTCGTGTTAAAGGGTTCATAGAGCTGTATAATGACTATTGTAACCAGATGAGTACATGACCACTAAGTCCCAACCGTACCAGAGGCAAAGTAAGATCGCCATCAACCTGAACGTGGTTAGCAAAAAATTAAATTCCAATACCTGCAATCAAAGGATGCGACGAAGGCAGCCATGAAATAAGTGCATGCACCGATAATGTAGCTATCAATGGATTGCCAAAACAAACATAACTATATACTATTTATCTTTATGCATCATCATGATGTACATGCATACAAGATTTTAGGGCATTAAATTTGCTTAACTGTCGTGTGGACACTGCCCGTAGAATTGAATAGAAGATGGGCCTTGTTGGGCAGTTGTCGGAAGGATTGGATTTTAATTGAATTTTTAGAAGTAGAGATTGACCATGGAATTGTTTTAATGGATTTTAGCTACAAGACATTAAAGTTTTCCAAACAAACGAGTTTCTTCCTTTTACGGAATGCAGCTAGCTAGAGATTAGGTTATTGTACTTTTGAACTATCAAACTAATTAAAACGGTTTATTATCCCAAGACCAAACCAACTAAAATCTTCAAGATGATAAGTAATTTTTTTTTTTTGGAAAGGCATTGAAATTCATTGAAGAGAGAAAAGATGTACAAAAGGGCTTTGACCCCAACCAATGGACTCTGTAAGACAACAAACAAAGCCAACTCCGATTAGTGATAAGCAAACTCTGAATACCAAATTCACTGGTAATAAGACAAGTACAAAAATAATTCATTTACAAGCTTTCTTTGCAGCATTTACATCTCCACAAACAAACCCTACCTAGTGCTTTCCTAGTGAATGCTTTGGCAATTAACCCAAGATAAATTCTATAGTCGTGCAACCTTCCTTGGCAAGCAAATCAGCCTTTTCATTTGTCGATTGTAACGTATGCCTTGTCTTCTGTTCACTCACCTGTGCAAAGCAGTTGATGAATTTGGATTATCTTCTTTCTCATTCTCCATGGAATCTCATTTGGATTACTAACCACTTAACAACATTAGAACAGTCACTTTTGAAGAAAAGTTCATGAAAAGTTACCCGAACCGAAGCCACAAAGATGAGAATTGCTTCTTTTGCAGCAAGTAGCTTGGAAAAGTTTGAGTCACTCTCTCCTATTGCTTTGGAAAAAATAACCTTAATATCACCATTATTATCTCCTAGAATTCCCCCAATACCAAATTGCTTAGGGTTACCTTTCGAGATCCCATCAATGTTGAATATCAACCATCCATTTTATAGCTTCTTCCATGCTTCCATGTTCCTCTTTTTCCCAACTTTCCTCATACAACTCCAGCATTAGATGTTCTCACCAATTCATTTATTGACACATTTGACTATCGCCACTTAGCTTATACACCCCACGCCATTCTCACCTTAACCAATTCAAAAACCTAGCACTTATCCCATTGTTTGCCTTTAAACACCAAATCATTCCTAGCTAACCATATTGTCCACACAATGGCATAAAATGCCATCCTCCAAACATCTCTATTATGCAAAGAGCTAGCAAAACCATTCCAAGTTTGAAAAATAGACAATCGATTCCTTATGATTTACCTAATTCATATTCCACAATGCACACTAATTTTGCCACAGTTTCTAAAATTCAATGCATGTAAAAAATAGATGACTTATAGTTTCAGAGTTGTTATTGCATAGTGAGTAGGTATTAGCCTCACCTCGCAATAATTCTCTACAAACCAAAACATCTTTAACAACCATTTTCCCTTGTGGTAATTGCTAGTAGAATATTTCAACCTTTTGGGATGCTAAACCACTCCAAACTTACTTCCAAAGGTCAACATGATAGGTATTGTAATTTAAAGCATTCCTACATAATGACTTAGAGGTATACTCTCTACTACATCCCCCTTTCTAAATCAGTTTATCAGCAAAACCCCAACCCACATACTATTTTTTAATAGCACCCAAAATCCCTCCCATTATTCTCTTTCTCATCCTAGAACCTCCCTCTTAACTCCATTCTCCAACACCAATCCGTACCTTGCCACTCGCCAAAATCAAGAATAACCTTTTTCTTTTTTACTGCCAAAGTGTAAATCCTAAGGAAGTCTTCCTTCAATATTACCCCTTTATCCACTCATCCCCTTAAAATCCAATTCTTCTACCATCTTCTAAAAAAACTCCATTCCATCAATGGTTTGGTAGCTAAAATCTCCCTCTAATCTAAGTGGCTTGGGAATTCCCTTCTAAATAGTTGAGGTTGCCCTACTATTATGTTTTTCTGGTATCATTGTTAGTTCATTTACCCTTACTTTCTCAACTATTACTATTCTATACTTGTTATTTGTTTCATTTGCATATCGCCAAAGCCACTTATTCAATGAAGCCCTATTCTTTAGTCTCAAATCAACAAAACTGAGCCCTACCCACTCTTTATAGTTGCAAACATTCGACCAACTCACATAATGTAATTTTCTTCCCAAATTTGCCCCCTCAGAAGAATCTTCTTTGAAGTTCTTCTAATGTATTTTTGACAATCATTAGGTTTTGATACAAAGGCATGCAAATGAAACAACTAGAAACTTAAATATCAATTAAATATGGTAAGGTCTTGAGATAGCTAACAATGTCTTAACACTAAAATAGACGGTTCAAACTGCTCCCTTAGCTCCCATAATTTTAAGGTTCTTATCTCAAGTCGTCTACTAAATTGTAAATAAAGGGATCACCAAACCATGGCTTAGCAAGTATTGCCACACACACGTTATCAAATCAAGCATCATTTTCAATATATCATATACATCATCCAAGAGCATTTCACTAAATCATGCTTTCAAAATAGTCAGATTCATTATATTCAAAGCAAATAATTCCATAAGTTCATAAATCATTAATCATCATATATCATTCTTGAAATAACATTCAAGCAAATCATAGTTTTAATCTTTGAAACTTGTAAAGTATCATCATCTTACTTATGGTCACTATTATATCTCATGATAAGGACCATATCGACTAATCATTCTCATGATCATTACTATCTATTATATCTCGTTAGTAGAGTTATGTGCTAACTATTATGTCCTGTAAGCAAGGCCGTAGAACTAGTTCTAGTGTCAATTATCCCCCTTCCTAGGAATCATTTCATAAATCTTAAAACATTCTTTAAAGATGATCAAAGATTTCATTCATTCCTAAAGTGATAACTGTTATATGAATAAACTAAAACATTCATAAAACAATGTTTGTCATATGTATAAATCAAATCATTTGTAAATATATTTTCATCATATTATTAAGCCCAAAATAAATAATATTCATATGCTTGATCCTATTTTCATATACTGAAAATAATGAAATAAAACATTTAATTCTTTCAAGAAATATACTTATAAGATAGTTTGAAACAAACAAGGTATGTGAAGATATATTTACCTTCCTTCATTCTAACAAACTTGCTCCCTCCCAAAATAATCAAAAGCCTAATAACAATCGTTTAAACATATTAGAAACAATCTAAATCTCTAAAATCTATTTATCACTTGAAAGTACACAAAATAATCCAAGCTCTCCTAAATCAGAAATTTGCAAAATTTGCACATTATTCACTTAAATGACTATATCTTAAGCTACGAAACTCAAAGTCGAAATTCATTTAATGCATTGAAAACTAGACTTAATAGGCTTTCTATCCATATAAATCTCAATACTTAGTTCACTATAGAAAAAGTGTAAAATATTTTCAAAATTGCCACTAGCGTTGTTGTCAAGCAGTTTGCACTGTCTTTACAAAAAAAATCATATCTTTATGTAAGAAACTCGGATGTAGCTATCCAACCATATATAACTCAAATAGAAAAACTTTCATAGATTAATACAAAACCAGATTTAAAGTAATGGTACAGTATATGAAACTCGATTCTTCTAGCAAATTCCTTTTTTAGTTTTAATCCAAATACTTCTAAATCAATCAATTTTTTTTTCAATTAAAAAGAGTGTTTTTACTTACCTCGTAATGATAAATCTAGCAATAACCTTTATTTGTTTATTCTTCAAGTTGCTCTTGAAAAACCAAAATGCTCACAAAAATATTCTTGTGAAATTCTTCTTTGCTTTTAGGTTTTCTTCATTAAGGTGGCTACCTATATTTAAATGATACATTTATATTAACCGTAATTGTATTCTAATAAACTTCCGCATAAAGAAATGGTTTAGGCCTAATTATTTTGAAGGCCTACTT